TTTTCACCTGTTAGACGGTTCGTGTGTGTTTGTAGCTTGCGCTTCAGACTTTTACTGACGCATTAACGCCTGAACTACACGCCATCGATGCAAGCATCTAATTAAAAGTCTTCTATCTCACCCGAGCCATTCTCGTTACTGTTTCCACCCCTTTTCTTATCTTGGGTAAGTTCAATTGGGTATTTTTTATTCTTAATCCTACTCGGGGATATTTGAGTGTATTGATTTTGGTTTGTTGTGTATTTGTTGCTCAGGGCCACCCTTCTCAGGAAAACCGTTCGATTATTTGCTTCAATCCATACGGGGATTGCGTTCTCTGTTTAAATCGTTATCCGGTTTTCTGTGATTGACAATACACAGGAACGGTAAAATGTGACCGACTGCTTTGGTACTTGCTGCCGATTCAACAAAATTATTGTGGAAACCAGTGTATTGCGAAACCAGTTCTGTCTATATTTTTTCTTGCACCTTGATCTGTTTTGGTAGTTTCCCCTTAGGAAAGTAATTTACAGTGAAAACCGTTATGCTCTCCGAGTGGCTATTGAAATTTTCCCCTAGCAAGAAAGTGTGTAGGCTTGTCGCAGGCCCCAACAGAGTTGTAAACCCCTTCTCTAAGAAAGCGGTGGACTTGAAACTCAGAAATAATTATTGTTTTCGTGTTACTTCTGTTCATACATCAGAAATATCCGCCCAAGCCTCAACTCTGGTACTGTTCTAAATAGCTGGAATACTATGATCAGACGGTGAACTTAGGTTTTGCACCCCGAAGCAGGAAAAATAAAAAACAGCGCCAGTACCAGTGCTTCGCACATACTTAAAATCGTTTTCTTAATCCTTTTTGTAGGACCCCAATTCTCTGCCAGTCTATCCACTAAGAGCACTGTACCGTGCTCGCGATGCCTTCTGGCACCGTTGGCAGAAAGCTCTCTCCAAAGACCGCGCCGCCCAGCGCGTTTATGAAGCCCATTATCATTCTCCGCCAAATGTCTTCCTCCTCAACACGGAGCCCTATCCCTTCGCTGAGGCCGACACCTTCTACCCCTCCCCGGATATTCTTCTTCTCCGTGGACGTGAGCCCTCGATCCCGCTCATAAAAAAGCGAACTCGCGAGGTCCTCGAAATGGTGCCGGTGGTTAATGAGAAACCTCGGAAGAAGCCTCGTCTGACAGATCGCCAAATCGGACTTCTCACCGAAAAGGCCGTAGATTCAGGCTGCGGCAGCAGTGTATCGAGCAAGCCTGACGACAGTGTTTCCATCTTCTTCAACTGTGATGCCTGTGATGAGGCTGAAGACATGTCATACACTGAGGCTGAAAAGCATGTTCAGTGCACGGGTCATGTGTCTTGTAGTGAGTACATGCGCCTGGCCCCAACCAAAACAGAAGAAGAGGCAGACGAGGAGGTGGTGATTTTCGAGGTGGAGGATGACAACAAAAAGAACACGTGCTCCTCCTCTTCGTCGTCT